CTTCACCAAAGAAAGAAAACACGCGTGTTTATCATTTAATAGTTTAATAGCCTTGTGTTTACTTTGTTTCGAAGTTTCTGCATTGTCAGTTCTGTTATGTGAATGTAAACAAGTAATTACATCTGGTCCAGTCATAACAATCATTGTCATTAGATTATCTTAATTACTCTTTGTGTAACATTCTAATGAGTTAATCATATTTGTAAATATTTACAAATTGCCTCGTGGGTTGGGCCGTCGTAGCCCAAGGTATCTTAGGTTGGGTTTCCAGGGCGGGCAAATCATTTTGAATCGTGCCCCCAAATAAGATTATACTACTAAATCGATTATGATGAAATTTTAGTCGGATATTTATAGATTTTTTTTTCTAAACAGTTTTTCACACATTCGAAGTCGCGGATAAAAACTTGTTTGACATTAAAAATGTTAGTTCCACAATTAATTTTAATAGGTTACCTACCTTCATTATTATTATTAGGTTTTTTATAGATTCCTAAGGGATATCAATTGGTAATTAGTTTTAAAAAGTAAGTAAATGTTGATCAACCACGCCCTGTCTAGCGTCTAACCTTTGAATTAGGTTATTAGGTATTAATTAACTTACCCAAGTGAGCTATCAATATAGGTTATAGAATTATAATTTGGGTGCCTAAATAAGATCGTTGCCTACATTAGATAGTAGATAAAACAAATAAGTACCTATGCATGGTACTTTTAAATACGTGATCGTGAATAATATATACCTATTATACAACTATGTGAAATCGAATCGATTTACCGATTATACTACCTAATTAGTAGGTAAGGCGCATAACCATAGTATAAAGAACAAAGTATTTATTATTATATAGGTAACTTAAACTACCTACCGACTTATTCATACTTAGACATGTTCTTGTCTAGTATTAATGAATTTATTTTTATTAATGAAAAAAATGAATGACTCTTTATCGATATCATACGTAAGTAATTAACAAATACCTACTTAAATAAAGAATTGTAGATAACTGTGACGTCACGTCGTGTTTATCATTATGATGACTGTTGCTCAACAGCTAGGTACTCTTTATTACAGGTAACCTTATCTTCTTTTTTAAAGTAGGAAACTTAACATAAGATCGCGCCTTTTTATCCCCGACGGGGTAGGCAGAGGTGCACATTACAGCACTTAATTCCACTCTACAATGTAACACTCACTTTTCACTATAGATACTCCCATCTAATAGGGGTGAGCCTATTACCATAATTATACCGGGACATTTCCAGACTCCGTGCTACTACTGAGAATTTTACTAATACTTTGCTCGACCCGGGAATCGGACTGAGACTCCTTACCCAGCAGTCACACGTCGCACTCGGCCACCGAGGCAGCAGGAAAGGTTAAAAAAAATGTGTGCAATTTCTTTAAATCAATATTATGAATGGCAAAACACTTCATAGAAAGAATATAATCAGTTTGTTTATCAATTTTCTGATAGGATTATTTAATATATATATATACAGATAACATGGTTTAATCAATGTTCCCAGAGATTATTAACAGTACCTACTAAATTAGTAATTTTGAGTCATATAATATTCTGAGTATTGACCATTTAAGATATCTTGTAATTAGTATAAAATTAGATATAATTATATTACTACGGTACGTCATTTAATTTTCTTCTTAGTATACTGTCTGTCTGTCTGTTCAAATAAAAACGTTTGCTTGCCGCATTTGTAAGTAGTTAGTACCTACTTACCTATATTTTGAGGAAAATTGATCTACCGAATATACACTAGTATCAATTTCATAATACTAATAAATATTTTTCCTTCAATACATTACTAAATAATGGTTAGTAAAATAGTCATTTGGTTATAAAAGGGCAATTTATAATAATAATATTTAGTTAAGTTATAAGTATAATTTTACTGCCCGGTATATGGCAATAGGCACACCCTATATAACATGGAACTCATAACATAAATAGTGAAAAGTAGGTGTTACATTGTACAGTGGCTATAAGTGCCGTAATGTGCACCTCTTCCTAACTGGTCCGGGGATAAAAAGGCGTGATGTTATGTTATGCTAAACTAATTATTCATTAAAAATAACATATTTGAACATAAACTGGTATCCGTATTCCAAAATAATGAAATAGTTTATGGATGCCTAAGGAAAATGAATTCATTAAGTTAGTACGTATCTTGTTTTAATGACGTCATATATTTAATTTTAGGTACCTACAGAGGTTCTGACGAAAGTTTATAATTTGTAAAATAAATTAATGATTAATTTTTGTCTCAATTCAATAAGAACCTTGAGGTCAGTGAATTCCTATTAGTAAATAGAGGAAGACTAGCCAGGAATTTATGAGACATTTCCTTTTAGAAATACAACGCAAAGCCAATGAGTTTCCATTTAAAGTCGGTTTAAATACAATAGACAGATGATGTCAGATTTATTTTAATGATAGATTATATACGTGTTCTCTTACAGTAGCTATTACTAAGTAATTTTCTAAAAACGACGATTTTTTGACGAAATTCAAAATGCTGACTTGATGGGCCGACGTTTGACCAAATGACCACCATCTCGCCTGGTGGTAAGCGACAATGCTGTCTACGATGGAGCACGTCGACCCATAAGCAACCTATTCACTCGGGCCTTGAAGGCACCCAGGTTATACCCTTCAGGAATACAGACTCTGGCAAAGAATTCCACTCCTTAGCAGCACGCACAAGGAAGTTTGATGCGAAGCGCTTCGTGCGTGTGGGTGGGACATCTACCATGAATTGGTGACGCTTCGTGGATTGTCTTGTGGTACGGTGATGGAAAGGCCTAGGGCAATCAAGTTGTGAAATTCAATGCAAAATCTTTGAATGGGGATGATGACAGGGTATGAAAATTAAAAATATAATTAGTCCGTAAGTTAGGTAATGAAAAAATATTAGACACGTATTTTTTTATTTTGTCGTATAATAAAACAATACTTAGATAAAACGAATCAAAGTTTAGGAGTGGGGGCTAAAACGTCATTTCTTAGTATAAAATGTACTGAGAAGTGACGTCACGCGACATTTCAAATCACTACTACCTTCGAAACTATTCGTTTCTGTGAGAAAATAAAAAATACGTGTCTAATGTTTTTAAATAATCTATCAGACGGACATTAAAATAAAAATTAGTCGTCTACCCTATTGTTGTAGATTTTTGACATTCATTTCAGGTTTTAGGTCTCTTTTAACTTTAGGTACTCTCATTCTCTTTGCCATACTCTTGAAACTCTATCTCTATTCAATTTCATATAGTTTATACCTAGGAACAAAGTTATGACATCCACCAACCTAGGCTTACGGCACACTGTATTGATTAAATGATTAGTTGCCAGCATTGTTTGTCCACCGTGTCATTGTAATAGCAACTGTAAATACAAACGTGTGACAATTTAAAACAAGCAATAAGTCTATTGTGTAAAGGTTGCAAATCTTGTTGCGTCTTCTGTTACTAAGGTTCATTTTGCAATGTCAAGTTTGTGTTCAGTTAGAGTGAATGCTACATGATTTGTTACAGCTGTGTTATCAAGTAAATTATTAATGTCTTTTTATCGATTTCTTTATTCTCTGTTTATATAGTACCTACTAGCTTCTGCCAACGGCTTCGCCCGCTGTCCCTTGAGACTACTCTTTGCCAAGTGGGACAAGTCGTCTAAACAAATGTAATGATTTGCACCAAGGACGAAATATATGTAGTTTACCGAACTATAAACACTAATAAATGCGAAATAAATTCCTAGATACACAATTAGATACGAAATAATAATCATGCAAGGGTATCAGATTTTTACTGTGATTACCAGTAACAGGTGAATGCTTTCAAACATTTAGACTGACCTATGTCATTAACTTTATATATCAGATTGATGCCGATCCCAACTAGAACCTTAACTACGTGGAATCGCTGTCATTAAACTCAGAATGAAATGTCAAAGGTCAAAAAATCTAGCAGAATCGTAAAAGAACGATCAATTGGCGAGGCCGTGTCGTATGCCAGTGTGCTACATTGGCGAAATTACCGATTTAAACTATCTTTACTTCAATGTTTTTACATTACCTAATAAACTTTTATTTACCTGGTATAGCGGGTTTAGTTTATTTGTCAATGAGATTTATTTATTGATCTTTATTTTTTATATGTATTAATACGAAGGTAGACGAAGTTTGACGAACATATTATAAAGTAGGCAAAGGTTAATTTTTGTCTAAATGTCTAGGCATTTTTTTTAACGGGGAAAAATTATGGAATGACTGCTCCCGCCTGGGTGAGGCGGAAGGGAGTGTCAGGCTCTTACTGACTAAAAACCACCCCGTTCCTTCTCCTGCACGTCGAGCCGGAGCCCCGGTTACCCGTTAGGTTCTCCGCGACTAAATGTCTAGGCAATAGAAGGTTCTCTCAATAGAATAGGTACCTGGTTAGAATATTTACTAGTTAAGGTATTTGCGTATAAGTATTTTTTAGAGTTTTAGTTTATTTTTGTCCATCTGATTAGATAAGTAACTGGGTCGCTGGCCAGTCTGGTGAACAAAGTTTAATATTGAGTAGGCGCCTTCGTTGACAAATCAACGAACATACGTAGTTCTAGATTGTATATTACTCTCCCAGCAATAAATTAATTTATTTTCATTCTAGTAGTTCTAAGCGCAGACGTCAAACTTTAAACAATGACATAACATTAATTAAAACACAAGAGAGCAACAAAGATACCTACAGACGTAGTGTAAATTGATATAATATTTGAGAAATTGTGCAATTACAATGATAATTATCACTATTAATAGGCATTACGAATGAATAGTATTCTTGTATCACTCAATAAATATTCTCGTCACGTGTTATCAAACAAATTCCATGTAAATATTGTTATCTTATTACACTCATGACTGATGCAATTTACGAACTTCTACGTCACGTCTGTCTCATGAAATATTGACTAAAAGAAACTTTTCTATCTTTCCAGATCCCCAGAGCCGAAGTCAGAGAACATGGTCATTACATTCTCACCGCTCACAAAGGAGTCCAAATACAGAAGACACATTAGATCAATGTCAGACGTCCAGAGCAGCACACCGTACAGAATCCCATTCAGGTCCAGGAAAGGAAGCACACAAACACTAATGTATGACTCTGACACAAGAGCCAGGAGGATCAGGAACCATAGATACAGACAACTGGAATCTTCCGACTCAAGCGACTACTTCGAGTCGCCAAAGAAAATCCGAAGTCTAGGACAAAACATCTTAAAACATACAGACTCTATGAGAATCCTGTAATGCAGTCAGAGATCTGATTTTAATTATTCAATGAGGCTGTACAATCTAGTTGTCGACTAGATCGGAATCACGTCGGGTTTCAAAGGAAAAATCAGATTTCAATGGGACGTTCTCGTATTCAGAAGGAACTGGAGAATATTGTGATTGATAGTTTTAATGCAAATATGTTATTTAATATTTCAGTGTTATATTAAATATGTCAGAAAAACACGTAGATCATTCACGTTCGAAGGTTGTTATGCGCATAATTTGATAATTTGATTGAATAATTAGACGGTCCCAAAGATGTTTGTCCCTACGTGATTCAGCTGAGTAACAGACTTTTGTGATTTCCTTTATGAGACTGTGATGAAGTAGGTTAACGGTATTGATAACTATTTAGTTGTAATTATTAATTTTAAGTTGATCTTCTCATTATCGATTTATGCCAGTGTCTACGTGAGAATGAAAATTAAAAAAAAACAATCACGAATAGACATTGATGCATCTATATATATTTTTGTCGCGAGGTGTAAATTCTGACGAAATGTATTTTTTTCAATGTGTTGAAATTTTAATTATTTCCTACCTAAGTAACAGAGATTGCAAATTATTTTGCAATAATGAAAAATAGGTATCTATCTAAGGGAAAACAAACATATCGTTACTTACTATGTTTCGACAACTAAGAAATATAAGAATAATGTAATGTATACGATGAACATCACAAAATTACTGATTTTTATCCTGTTTCCTCTTGTGAAGAGACTCGAGAGTACCTTTTAGAGCCAAAGTTTTAATTGTGGCCATAATATCTACAGAATAGTTTATAAGAAAACGTAGTCTGTAGTATTTCTAGATCTATGTTGTATTTTTCCGACGACGCACAATGAATGAGAGCATTAGGTTAAACGAAGTTTGTTCTAGACTAGAAGGTTTTTGAAACACCTCACAATGATAACAGTTCAGTGTAATTTACATTTCAATCAAACATACGAAATCTTTATTTAACTTTATTCTGATTCTGACAGTGGAAAATTGTGACAAATGCGTAAATATGTACTAATTAATTTAATACTAAGCAAAGATTGTTTGTTTGATAAAAATCGTAATGATTCATGTTTAGCACAGCACTATTCTGTTATTCTTTTTAATTTTTAGTCTGTGGGAATTGACAATACGAAAATATAGAATAAAAATGTTAATACTTCATTATCTTTGGACCAAAAGAGTATCGTATAGGATGAAACTTTGTAAGTAAATAAGTAATGTTTAGTTTACTTTTAGAACTGATGTCAGAGTAGTCTGTCTCTACTCAATGCCTTCAAACTAACGAATGTGATAAGTAGCAGTTAAAATATCTATAACATTGTTATTTATTACATAATGAACAGTGATGAATGTCAATAAACAAAAGCAATTTGAACTAACGTTGTTTTTTTTTCTCTAAACTTATTTATAGTGATGATGAGTGCGAGCCAACTGGCTAATATTAGACAGGCACCATTCTAGTAACAGGTACCTAGGTAAACTACGAAGGATTTGAATGTGCTTAAATGCCTAGATGTCTAAATGATCATATGTGGAAATATCTCCGGTCGACCACACTATACATAGGTAATGCCTACGTACAAAAATAAACTGTACCTAAAGTAAGCACTTCCCTTAGGTACCAGACTTATGCAGCCTCCTCGTTGGTCGCAAGTGTAACTGTCGAACGAACTGTCGTCCTCTTAAGTTCCATTAGATACCAGGTCGAGCATATCTAAGAGATAGCGCTTGCTTGGTGGTGGTTACATATTTTAACTCCTAAATCCACGATTACCAATAATCCACAATATTTGTTCATACAAAATTAGTCTCTTATCCACGGAAATAAGGTTTATAATTGAGTAAGTGCAGAGCGGTCACCGGTGACCGCTTGGGGACTCGGAAGATGAACAAACCCAGTTCAGACCTTCAGACCTAGGTACCGTTTTAGAGGGTAAAATATCTGATGTAGCAAGGTATAGTTTTGGGAAATTTGTACATAACATACTTCACTTAATAGATAGCTGTAAATTTATTGCAATTTATGGTGACACGACAGTACAATAACCTTAATTTGATTTCTGGCGGGAAATGAGGGGGTGTGAGCACATCGTAATTAGTTTCCACAAACAACAGATTGACGTCATAAAAAAGACAATGCGAGTAATTTATGGAAAAGTTTACTATCTTTGGTAAATATCTGTACTATCTACAGTCTAATGTAAATTACAGATCGTACACGTTTAGTTGTGCAATCGTAAATAAAATAGACATAATAATGATAGCGAGTCCCGATGACACAATATTTCGATAAAACATTTAGATTACAATGATGACCTTGACCTGATGCTGTATTTAGCTTATCTATCTAGCTTCATTATCCTAACTAGAATCATGTCCTATGATCAGCAGCGAACATCAAATAACTATAACTAACTATCTAGGTACTTAACTTCTTCAATATATTATATATAACGGCACGTGGGTACCAGTATCAGAATCGCTCATCTTAAAGTGGGTAATCGCGCAGGGTATTTTTATTGAAATAATTAGACAGGTCTTCGATCAGCAGCCTTATAATAACAATTCACAATGTAAATCACAATAATCGCTTAATTTAACGCAGATGGAAATGGATTTACACTTTGGACGAAAGCAATCCGTCGTAACCGTCTAGTCCACGCTATCGTTGCAATCAAAGTCAACGAGTCCGGTGGTTGTTTGACGTTTATGACGTTCCGCCAGAGTGACAACACAATTGTCACTCTCGTCCAATCAGTGTGATTTGTTAAATCACATAATAGATGTCAAAATGGGTTTTCAGTATTTCTACTAGATGGCGCCAAGGACGCGCCTTCACGGCCGGACTGACAATCGCCCGTCCTCGGGCGAATATGTATTCCTGCAATAAGAAGATACCATACTGTTAGTCGAGCCACCATGCTCGTCCACCCTGACATTAGCCAGGGCATCTTACTATAGGTCACAGCCTATTTCGAACTCACTCTGGCAACTGGTAATACTTTTTTTTTTTTTTTTTTTCATTCGATGCGTAGCTCGGACAAATGCGTCCCTTCGACTTGCACCAAGTGCAAAACCAACCAACACCATCCCTTCGACTAGCCATCGGCTCACTCATGATGCGCAGCCCGGACAAATGCGTCCTTACGACTTGCCCCAAGTGCAAGACCGGACAGCACCGTCCCTTCGACTCGCCATCATTCACGTCAACGAACTAGATTCGTACGTCCCTTCGACTTCGACCAGCACGACTAAGCCCGGACAATACAATCCATTCGTGACACACAGACGCATGCGTCCCTACGAACCTGCTAGCACTCTAGTCAGGACCGGACAACATCTCATCTTTGGATTTGCGTCCTTTCGATTTACCAAACAATAGGCAAAACCGGACAACAACACCCACACGTCATCATATATCACATAATATGAACTTACCTTAGGTTCTGAATATTATGCTCGGTGAACGTCTACGTCTACGTTAAAAGTCATAGGTCCCTCATCTTCCGAATCATCACCGGCTGTTTCAGAAGGGGCTGTGAGTGTTTCAGAAGATGCAGTCAGAGTAGCGGAATCTGCAGTCAGGGTATCAACACTGCGAGCCGACATAGTCTCAAAATCGGCATCAATAGTGCCTTCCGACTGCATATCTACCGCCTCCACGGCTTCCTCGTCATTCATAATACCTTCAGCTAATTCTACTAAACCCTCGTGACCTCCCGGCACCAAACGCAAGTTTTCGTGGGAATACTTTAACGTACGGCAAGGACCATCTACGCTTTTTAATTCATAGCGGTCATTTTCCAGAACGTTGGTGATCACGAAAGGTCCTCTAAACTTTCGGTCGAGTTTCGTTTGATTACGTTCTGAACTTTTAACGAAAACGTAATCTCCTTTATTAAATGGCTTTACTTTAGCTCTTCCGCGATTAAAACGAATAGTCTCAGCTTTAGCAGCTTTCTCTATATTCTTGGATGCATTTAAACGTATCGCTTCTAAATTTAAACGCTCGGGTGGACCATCTCCAGTTGAAATCTTGGAGATTCCTAAAGAGTACGATTGAACTCCAAACATTAATTCAGTCGGGGTATATTTCGTGACAGTAGACCTTGTGCTATTTAGAGCAAGTTGTACGTTGCCTAACTCATCGCGCCAATTTTTATGCGGATCATTTTCAATAATTGTAAGTAAAGATTTTAGGGTTCGCATTACCCGTTCGACCTGACCGTTTGCTCTACTTGAGCCAGTGGCGATGAAGTGAAGATCAATGTGATGTTCCGCACAAAATTTTTTGAATTCACCACTAATATAGCAGCGACCCTGATCAGCCACAATTCGTTTAGGAGCACCGAACAGACAAACAGCTTTCTTCAGTGCCCAAATGGCACTCACCGCATCTAAAGAAGTGGTGTGTTCCAACAGGACGTATTTGGTAAACGAATCAATGATGACAGAACAGTACTCTTTTTGATCACTCTTACCTGTCAATTTTCCAGAAAAATCTATGTGGAGTGTGTGCCAAGGGGTTGGCTCTTTCGGAATGGGGTGTAGTCTAACTGGTTGGGCACCTGAGGGTCCTTTCGAGGCTTTACATATTATGCATGAGTCGACAAACCGGCGAACACTTTTCGACATCTCGGGGAACCAATATAGATCGTAAATTTTGTCGAGAGTCTTATCGGGGCCCAAATGTTGAATTTCCGAATGAATGTGACTGATCAGAGTCCATACCAATGAGCGGGGTACTATAGGTAACCAAGAAACGGTTTTATTGCGGTTAATTTTCCGGTAAAGAACGCCATTCCTAACGTCATAAGTTTGTGCTACATTCTCCGGTAAATCACCGTCCAAAAATTTCTTTTGAATGTCTTGAATTTCAGCGTCGCGCTTTTGCTCGACAGACAACCAACCAGCATGCAACTCTACAAATTTAACTACTTTCTTTGCAGGACTAGGGGCCTTAAACTTATCTGAACAATTTTCCAAAGTTGGGTCAGTGTCAGCTGTCAAAGTGGTCTCAGGTAGGTGATTTCGCGATAGATAATCGGCGTGTTCCATGCTTTTCCCTTCACGATAAACAATATCAAAATCGTACGCTTGAAGCATGGCCCACCACCTATGAACGCGGGGTGTCAAATCGACCTTTGATTTAGATGCCTTCAACGAGTTACAGTCGGTATAGACTGTGAACTTCCGGCCATGCAAATAGTGACGAAAATGTTCGACCGCTCGCACGACTGCCAGAGTCTCTAGTTCATACGAATGATAACGAGACTCAACCTCAGTCGTGCGGCGGCTAAAATAAGCCACTACGTGTGGCAAATTGTTTTTCTTTGGATAACTATAGCCCCGTATCCCTCCGAACTAGCGTCACAGTGGAGCTCTACTGGCAGTTTTGGGTCGAAAATTGTCAAAACCGGCTCTGACGTGAGAACCCGAATAACATTTTGTCTGATCTCTTCGTGTTTCTCGGTCCACTTAATGCCTCCCTTTAACTTTGTAAGAGGGTATAGCGGACCAACTATCTGAGTATAACTAGGGATAAATTTCCTAAAATATGAAGATAGGCCAAGAAATTGGCGAACTTGAGTTGCTGTCTTCGGGGGAGGAGCATTGGCCAAAGCCTGAATTTTAAGGGAATTGGGTCTAATCTCGCCAGCTTGGATAGCATAACCTAGATAGTTAACTTTGTTTTTAAGAAACTTACACTTACGTAAATTCAACGAAAACCCAGCTTTCGTCAGAGCTCCCAGACATTGGTCTAACCGTCGTAGACCCTCTGTGACGTCAGAGGAATGGCAGAGCACATCGTCCATATACACTAGGGGTCCATCTTTCAAATATTTAAGTGCATCATTAATGCACCTCTGATATACCGAGGGTGCATTGCGTAAACCAAATGGCATTGCAACATATTCGTATTGTCCCTCGGGCGTCACGAAAGCTGTCTTTTCTACGGATTCTGGGTGGATCAAAATCTGGTGGAAACCAGAGGCCATGTCTAAACACGAAAAGTAATAAGCTCCGGTGAGCTGGTCTATTTGGTCGTCTATAAGTGGTAGGGGGTAATGCTCAGGTCGCGTGTTTGAGTTGAGTTCTCTGTAATCGACACACATTCTATCCGTGTCGTCCTTTTTCTTTACTAATAGAATCGGACTAGCAAACGGCGAGGAACTCTCTCGAATAACACCAGCTTTCAATAACTCCTGAACCTTATCCCTCACCACCTGTTTTTCGATGGGAGATAAACGGTACGGTCGTCGTTGGACTATTTTATTAGGGTCAATAAGTTCAATTTTCATTACACCCGTATTAACACGTTTAGTTGGAGTACCACTTATAAAGTGATCAGTATACTTCAACAAGATACCCAGTAAGGCTTCCTTCTCGTCCCCGACTAAATCTGTATCTAGGGCCGCGACGTCAATACCTTGTACACTTTCGCAAAAATTTATTTTCTCATTAGTGGATATGAAGAGATTTTCGTTATCAATCTCAACACGTACTCCATTTTCCAGTACGTCCCTACCTACAATAACGTTTTCTGAAATGCAGTTGTTTGGAACGACATGAAACAAGAGAGTCAAGCAAAGATTATTAATTTGGACAGTGCTAGAAATTTGTCTATCACACTCAATATCGTCTCCCCCAATGCCAGTCAAATAAACGGTGTTATTGCGTTCAATGCCAGGGAAATCCGAAGACACAGATTCCTTAATCAAAGAACAAGAGGAGCCACTATCAAAAAGGAAACAGATATGCTCACCAGATGCCGTCGTTAGTTTACCTCTCGAAGTCTTGTGCTCGCAGGTGTTGACCTCCCTGACCGCTGCGCCGCCTCTCTTCTCAGGGCACGACGTAGATACGTGGCCAGGTTTCCCGCACGAGAAACAGGTGATTGGTGCCGACTTGTCCTTGATCTGATCCGTGGAACCATCAGCGCGATTAACTGAGTCGTCACGTCGCCTTTTACACTCTGCTATTTTGTGTCCAGGAACTCCACACCGATGACACTTCCCATTGAACTTCGAGTCTGACGGACGAGGTCTTTTTATCTTATTACTACCATCATTATCTTCACTACGCCGCTTTAAAGAGACCCCACCTAGTGTCCGGAAGAGTTGAGCACGCGTTGTGATGGCATAGGAGTTCAGTTCACGACGAATCATGTTGTCTTTCGAGCTCAGAACGGAAATAACGAACCCAGTGATTGCCTCTTCTAACATCTCGACTTTAGGAATTCGCTCGATTAGTGCCCATAAACGCATAGCGGATTCACTAGCAGTCTCCTTTGTTCCGATCTGAAAGCGCAACACTTCATCGAAGTAGTCCTGCATCAATTTGGGCTCTGCAAATTTCGCCAGCAATGCTTGTTTCACAACTTCCCAGGTTAAGTCTTCCAGACGCAGTTTAGTCAGAATAGATGCTGCTCGTCCTTTTAATGCAGTTGTCAGAGCTACCAAAAGTTCCACGCCAATTAAATTCTTGCTGTGTATAATCAACTCCGAAACACGGCACCAGCCCTTAACATCAGCATCTTCGTCATCTGGGTCGAACTTGATTAACTGAACCGCGTTAGTGTTTGCTACAGGCTGCGATGTTTGCTGCGGCATTGCTAACAAACGGGTTAGCAGGGCTTCCATATTGGTAAGCAATCCACTATTGCTAGGTTGATTGTGGGGCTGAGTATCTTGATCCGACTGTTTTTCGCATCCCACTTCTGATAACGGCACGTGGGTACCAGTATCAGAATCGCTCATCTTAAAGTGGGTAATCGCGCAGGGTATTTTTATTGAAATAATTAGACAGGTCTTCGATCAGCAGCCTTATAATAACAATTCACAATGTAAATCACAATAATCGCTTAATTTAACGCAGATGGAAATGGATTTACACTTTGGACGAAAGCAATCCGTCGTAACCGTCTAGTCCACGCTATCGTTGCAATCAAAGTCAACGAGTCCGGTGGTTGTTTGACGTTTATGACGTTCCGCCAGAGTGACAACACAATTGTCACTCTCGTCCAATCAGTGTGATTTGTTAAATCACATAATAGATGTCAAAATGGGTTTTCAGTATTTCTACTAGATGGCGCCAAGGACGCGCCTTCATATATATCAAAAAGTAAATACTGCAAAAAAATGTTTTCGATTTACATAAAATAAAAAATGTGAAATAACACGTTATTCAATTCATATAAAATGAAAAATATGATATATAACTACTAGTGCCATCTATTGAAAAGTTTAATCTAATAGGTAACATTGCGCTACGGCTATGGCTACGACCGATGAGCTTCACAACCACGTAGTTAATTAACGAGTGGTGCCATCTAGTGAATTTACACAAAAAACATAATGCGCATCTAGAACACAGAATGATAAAATATAATTTTTCCATGCTGTACTAGCGCTAGTTTTGTACTAAATTACGATTGATAAAAACGACTCAATCATTTTGCGATTGACGACTGATTGACAATGACATTTCGTTAGTGCTTGACAGTATTTTGACGTTTTAACAATTGACATTTGTTTGTTTACATGTAATATCTCGAAAACGACTTTTCATTGTTATTTCGAACGTTTTGTCGCAGTGATACACACACGGGGTATTTGGAAAGCTCATAAATCAAAATGAAGACGCTTATTTTATTACTTTTCGTAATAAAATTAATTTCTGCAAAGCCGACATCGATTGTTTTGTGGCATGGAATGGGTGAGTTATTAGATCTGTTTTTATTTAATTAACATTTAAGAAAAAATATATTTACAAATGAAATTAATAGCCATACAATTCATTCTGGTACAGGGCTTTTTAATAATAACCACTTAATAGATAGCTAGGTAAAGGATATTCATAATTAAGTAATTAGCTACTGTACTTACCTAATTAAAATTCATAGCATCGCGCTTCTGTTTTAATATTATTTTGACTTCGCTTTTTAAAAGAACGTCCCTAAGATGACCTACTGACAGAAATATCAGCCTATTAACACGAATTAATTAATTAAAAAAACATAAGCAATCCAATAGGTAACAGAGCAGAATAAAAACTTTTTAAAGATAATAAATAGTTACTAACTGTTATTGTGACTTATGTCTCTGATTGCTATATATTCTGATAAGGAATAACAGCATTATCAGTTGGTTCTCTGACCCTCTTCACCTTAGGTTTGTCTCTGAATCCCTTCATTAAATAATTATATTGGAATATTAAATAATATAAACTTCCTTGATGTTCTTCATCAACAGGAAAAATTTAAATGTATGTAGCTACATATTTATTAATTTATTTATTTACATTTAGTAGGTTTATAATATACATTTTCATTGAATGTTAAGTAATATTTGAATGTAAATAATGCTAAAACATGCTGCAAACTTATGTATGTACTTGTGCTTAGGTAATATAATAGAAATAAATAAATAAATGTATGCTTTATTATTTAGTAAATTAAATGAGAGAGAGAGATTCTTTAAGTTTTATTGGAGACAAATATTTATAGGTACCTATAAAAGTTAACTTCTTTTTAATCCTAAACCATTCCATTTTACAGTATGTAAGATTAGGGAATTAAATTATAATTAAAAATACCATAATACAGCATTTTTTCTTTGCAGGAGACACATGCTGTGTAAGCTTCAGTCTAGGTGGTATAAAATTATTTTTAGAAAAAAAAATCCCTGGTGTCTATGTCAGTTCTCTAAGGATTGGCAGTTCCACTGTAGAGGATTTCGAGAATGGGTACTTTATGAATCCAAACAAGCAGGTTGATTATGTGTGTGAGCAGTTAGCTTCGGACCCGGAACTGAAAGATGGATTCAATGCCATTGGCTTCTCTCAAGGAAGCCAGTTTCTGTAAGATATTTGTTTTTAATAAATTTGTTTATTTACGATTTACTTATTTAGGGACTTTGGACTTTATCATTTTAGATAAATTGTGTTGTAGTAATTTAGACAGATAAATCAGCTGTGGAAACAAACAAATAATTTGATATTGAAACAAATTTTTGACTGCGCGGTTGGCGCGGTGGCTGGGCTACTGGCTGCCGCGCAAAGTGCCGCGGGTTCGATTCCCGCACGGAGCAGCTCTTTGTGTGATCCACAAATTGTTGCTGTCATTGTGTATGTGAACTTGTATGTTTGTAAACGCACCCACGACACAGGAGAAAATACTAGTGAGGGGCAACATTTAAAAAAAATTGACCAATTATAAAAAGCCTGTAAAATGCCATAATGTGTGTTAATTTTTTAAATAATGAACTTAATATTTTGAACAAAAGTTTTGTACGGGGATTTTACGACTGCATAGGGTGCCCGAGACTATTACGAGTCGATTTAGTAAGATTTCGTATTTAGTAAATAATAATTTTTAATAAGTAAATATTTTTTAGGCGAGCAGTAGTCCAACGTTGCGGCCACATTCTGCCTCCGATTAAGAATCTGATAACTCTTGGAGGTCAGCACCAAGGAGTTTATGGTCTTCCTCATTGTGGAGCTCTCATGCATCCTACCTGCGACTACATCAGGCAACTACTCAACTACGCTGCTTACGACAGGTAAATTATTTATCATAGGTACTTTAATAGCCAAGGTTTCTTTCCGGGCATATTTCCAGATTCCGTGCTACTATTGAGATTTTTTTTAAATTCTGTAATGCCCTGGAAACGAACCCGATACCCTTTGTCTGGCAGTCGCACTTGCGATCAATTGGCTAATGAGCTAGGCAGTTTGGAGTATTATATATTTAAAAAAATAAATACCAAGGCGATTGGTCATAAAGTTTGTTTGACGCTGAAAACAAATTAGTGCTCAGAACTTAAATCTATAGAAACTGAATTCACTTCAGACGTCACGGCATAATATCGTCGCCAATAAACAATAATAAATTAATATTTCCGGTCCCCAGGATCTTCAAATCATTGTTTTGACTTTTTCGATTTGAATTCGTTATTCAAGTTAAATTAACAATGCTTACTGTCGCATCAAACAAATAATAATAATTGGTGATATTAATAACATCACCTTATTAACAAAAATATGTACCATGAATAGACCCCCCCGACCGAAATGATAAAAATCCGGCGTGAAGTAACGCTTGCGTTTTCGTAATATAAATGATTAATTACCAAATGCTCAATCGTCCCAAAAGGCCCCCAACGTGCTTGTAACACCTCTGGTGTCCATAGGCACCGCCGATTACCATCAGGTGATCCGTCTGCTCATTTAGAGGTATATTCAGTAAAAAATATCCAGAACTTACCAACTTGATAATATTATTCTGGAAGATTCTAAAAGGGTCTTGCTTTGTACGTAGTTGCAAGTGTATTACCAGCTTTGTATGCATTGCGCGTTGTACCGACAAAGTACTCATCCGTCGCTTATAAGGAGCGGAATATGTGAAGGTCAATTTTAATGCAATACTGTTCGAGTATCCTTATAAACGCACTTGAAATATACTTGGTTAAATCGACAAGACATACAGGTATTGTGCAATATGTGAATGAAGCCTTAGCCACTTTTAGGTCAAGTAGGAACATTTTTAAACTGAACAACTATGTGGAAATCCTACCAAAATAGACATTCGATATTCTTAGGGTTTTTTGTTTTTTGGTTGATTTCTACTGCAGATGCTAGCTTTAGTTACAAAGAGTAGGAATTTAGAACATAAATGGATTTCAATTTAAAAGTATTATTTTGTGGCATAAACAGTGAAAGTGGGTGTTACATTGTGGCATAATGTGCACCTCTGCCTACCCCTTCGGGGATAAAAGGCGTGATGTTATGTTATGTATTATTTTGTGGCAGTTTCGTTTCCTATTTCGGAAACCCCTTAATAGTTACAATTCAATTTCTTTTTCAATTCAGTTACAACTTCGTCCAACAGCTGTCCATAAGTTCCACAACGAAGAAAATCCACACACACACATATGTTTGCACATATGTGTTATTCACTTCTTTAGTGTTACGGAAATCCAGATTACTGCTATCATTTGTATTGTATGTAGGCAATACATTAATAATATAGACTACGTTCCGCTTTCTACGCGTAACGCGAGAGACTTCTGACGATAAGCATAGTATTTCTTGTTTCCTTTCACTCACATGCGATGGCAAATTGCAACTTGATAATGTGATTTTCGCTCCATAAATACAAAAGTCATTATGGATGGTAGAGGTCGCTCCAAGTACAAATACTATTTATTAAGCTAATGTTCTTTACAACTTATGTACTGTCATCAATATGTTAGAAATTGCCAGAACTCGACAAATATTTTCTTGAAAAAAATGTCTGACATCCTTTTCTACTACCTGTGATCTCCAACCCACTATACCATCCACGCTTGATCCAAACAATATAGTGGCAAATAGATACGACCTAACTCCAATGTATAGGGGGCCTATAGACTCTAGGCTAAATTAGGTTCAGCACTGGACTGTCAGACTGTCACAGGCTATGATGATGGCTATTGATGATGATACAAAACCCAGGTTTTGTACTAATAAGTTTTTTTATGGGATAAGCCGGTAAACGAGCAGACGGATCACCTGATGGTAAGCAATCGGTGTTGCCTATGGACACCTGGAACAACAGAGGCGTTACAGATGCGTTACCGGCCTTTTGGGGATTTGGAATTTGAGGTTTCTTGGGATTCAAGGATTGGGGGAATTGGGAAGAGAGGGGAAGGGTAATTGGGCCTCCGGTAACCTTACTCACACGACGAAATATAACGCAAACGTTGTGTCACGTTGGTTTTCTGTGACACCGTAATATCACTCCGGTGGGGCCAGGCCATCTTTAAAATTAGCAGATTTCTTACATCATAGTCCTTCTAAAGAATCCTAATTTTACTACTTACCTAAACATTCCAGCTGGGTGCAAGACACTTTAGTCCAAGCGACATACTGGCACGATCCCTTAGACGAAGAAGCGTACATAAACAAGAGCATCTTCTTAGCTGATATCAACAATGAAATTCGAGTTAACAAGACGTATATAGAAAACCTCAATAACTTGGAACATCTCGTCCTGGTGAAGTTCGACAATGATACGATCGTGCAACCGAGGGAAACGGAATGGTTTGGTTTCTACGAGCCTGGACAAGCTAAGAAAATTGTGCCTTTAAATGAGACCAGACTTTATTTGGAGGTTGGTTGATTTTGTTACCATTCGTAGATAATATAAATAAACATAAATTGCCGTTCGTTAGTCTTGCTAAAACTCGAGAACGGCTGAAGCGCTTTGGCTAATTTTGGTCTTGAAATGTTTGTGGAAGAAGGAAGAATGTTAAAAATAGAGATTACTATCGCGTCATGTCTTCTCCGGTCAACTAACTATGCAGCTATTGAAATGAAGAAATTATTTTTTCTGCTCTTTCTTTTTTGATCTACTTTCCGTATACTTACTTATTATACGTAATATACTTACTTATTTTCGATCAACTATCAAAAGTTCGAAGCCATTCTAACCGAAATACGTGATTTACGTAATGGCTGTAAGTTGTCATGAAAACCTTGAATGTTTTTTAATTCCCACGTCTGGTTAGGGAACAAGAAGATTCCCCATTGTTAATTTAGGTAATTGATTGACTACAAATAACTTCCTATACATTATGGAAATCCATACATTTGCTCCAGGGATGTATCTTTCAAGACCTCTTGAGGAGATAAGCAGTGTAGTCCAATATTAACCATCTATTCTCTCATATTCCAGGATCGCCTGGGCTTTAAGAAAATGCAGAAAGAAGGCAAATTGGTACTGTTATCAACAGAAGGCGATCACTTACGTTTCTCCGAGACTTGGTTCGTCGAGAATATCATTAAGCCTTATCTCCTTAATTAGAGCTGATAGTCAATAATGAATCTCATTAACTCGATCATTTGTCTACACAGTTCTGTTATGTATTAATTAAGAGTTTAAGTGCCTGAATAACTTCATGAGTGAACTTTTCTAGAATAGTCTGCTTCTTATTTTATGTATTTTCATCGCACTTTTGTTTAATAAGACATATAAATAACCCTATAATTAAATAAAGATAAAAAAAGACATATACATCACTACATAGTATAAAACAAAGTCGCTATCCGCCGTCTGTCCGTGTCTGTCCCTATGTATGCTTAGATCTTTAAAACCACGCAACGGATTTTCATGGGGTTTTTTATAGATAGAGTGATTCTTAAGGAAGGTCTATATGTATAATACATGCATATTGCACCCATGCGAAGTGATGTTATTTAAAAATTATAGAAATTATTTATTAGTAATGTATTTCATTGATAGATGTCATCGTGTAGTTTATCGTTAACTAGCTTCTGTTGCTTCGCCCGCGTTGGTGCGTCCCCGTGTGATAAAAAGTAGCCTGTGTTATTCCACACCATAATCTATCCCTGTTCCAAATTTCATCGCGATCCCTTCAGCCATTTTGATGTGAGAGATCAACAAACATACACACACATCCTCACAAACTTTCGCATTTATAATATTAGTAGGATTTGTGAAATAATGTAACATGATTGGTTGCCACTCAGATATCAAAAAGTTGACGAGTCCATTCATCTTGATAGAAAAACAAAGTACGATACAGATTAAACAGTATTTAAAATCTTAACACATTTTGTACATTGTTTAATCTTAGTAGGTATAAGTCGAGGCTTATTTGACTTGTATAAATTAAAGAGCTGCAGTTATACGATACTACTTTAGATCCTTCAAAACTTCTAAGAATCGCTTAACAAATATTTTACTAAGTCCTATAATATGTTTTAACAAATAATCGTAATTCTGTATAATCTATAACAAATACAAATGTTATAAATTTTTAACAAAAACTGTTTCTAAGAATCGATGTGCTAAGAAATATTTCGTGAATATGTTGAGTTATCTTATAAAACCAAATTATTATTGAATTATTCTGTTATTTATTAGATGAATAATTACTTTATTAACATAAGAATATATTTCGTGTAAAAATCTTGAGCAATAACATTGTGATAAGGTATTTTTAATAAATAAAGTTGTAAAAAAAAACCTAGTTTTATTTTGATTTGATTATAAGAACGAAAACAAAGTATGTTGTATTGTGAATGTTAATCTATCAAAAGTTTATTGACCTCGTCAAGGCGTTGTGTGTCTTCTATTTATGAACAAAAATACCAGTCGTGTCTTAAACCCCAATGTGACTTTGTTACTGATAAATCAAACGGATGATAAAATAATTATTATAAGTCATACATTATAAGTTATATAAGCCTATAAGTTATAGGTTACACATCCACCGATAGATTAGATAGTAAGTTGGTGCCATCATCAGATCCTGACCTGGTGGAAATGGAACCACCTGGAGAGTATAACCTTTCCAACAAAACATTATCATTCGAATTCGCCCACAGAAAAGAGCGTAATATTCCTTTTTAAAAGGCCGGCAACGAACCTGTGACTCCTCTGGTGTTGCGGGTGTACATGGGCGGCGCTGATCGCTTACCATCAGGTGATCCGTATGCTCGTTTGCCTCGTAATCTCGTAATAATATACACACAAAAAAACACAGCCAAATTGTTAACCTCCTCCTTTTTGGGAAGTCAGTTAAAAAAAGCAAAAATGTTGTTGCCAAAGCTGGATTGGTTCTCATAATATGTGCTTTGTTCTTGCAAATAGTTTTTGAGATTTGAGGAATGAGTATTTAGTAAAAATAATACAGGATAACATTTTTAGAGTCGATCAGAAAAAATCTCAATAAATAAATTACCCAACAATCTTTATTCAAAGTTTCTGTATCAATACAATATAAATATTACCCTGCTACTCTATAAGACTTTCAAGATCTTGTTGTCTGTTTTTGACAGTTGTGCGGTCCGTGTCAGGCTGTGCACGCGCATCCACGTAAACTCTGACTAATCGGTTGAACTCCGAACTTCGTTTTATGAACGGTGCATTGGCACCACGCACCTTGTGTAGAGGAAATTTTACTAGACATTGTAGCATACAACGTTCTGCGATTTTGTAGCTGCAAAAAGAAGTTTAGTTTTATGACAACCGTTTTTGCTTATAGTAGATGGCGCCACGTAAGAATATGGTTCTGTCAGTGCAATTGGTTTGTTTATCGTACCAGTGGGTTAAACTGTCAAACACCAAGCGGTCACCGGTGACCGCGACCTATTGTTCTTTAATTGTGTCTATAAAACCGGTACTCGACTAGTTAATTGATGCTGCTTGAATTATTTTTAGGAATTGCATTCGCATCTTATTCTATTTTAAAACGAGTCATGAAATAACAGTAGTAATCGCAAAGTAAAGAATCGGTAGTGTTAAATACTATTTATAATATCTAATCATGACTCGAAACTTAACTAATTTATATACAACCTCCTCTTAGAAGGTTATTCCTTTACAAGGTTGTTGTGCAGTCTCATGCATATCTAATAGGGTCGTAGGGCCAGTAATTTATTTAATTGGAAAATATAAATATATATAAGTAGTATTTGCTATAATTTAAGTAGATGGTGTTATATCAGCTTCCTACGCAAAAAAAATATAACGTATTTTTGATCGATGTTAAGATGTCTGCACTGGAAAAGGAAAATCCTTGTAGACCGCCTTTGTAGATACTTAGCCTATTTTCTTGTTTTTGTAGCTCGATATATTATCTCAAATCGGTGTATTATAAAGTATTATTCTATTCTTATATAGTTTAAAAGATGTTTACCTGTAATCTTAAATTATGTTGGACCTTACGTCAAACCGGTTCAACATGACCTTGATTTTATTTTTTATTTTTGGCTACTTACTCATAAGGATTGATGCAGTCCATGCGGATAACGTTGTACCCTTGATCGTAAGCTAACTCTTTACTTTTTTCAGCCATAAATACGCCTAGACCTTGTCTTCGATAATCTGGTAGAACTGTTAACATTTTTATCTGCAAAATTATATATATAAGTTTGGGAGTATGGGAGCTATGCTCTTACATATTTTGTATTAAAAATACTGTCATTTGTTAGTCCATACCTCATAAACTTTTTTCTGTTTGAATACGTCCCATAAGTTAGGAGTCTCCTGCAGTTTTGCCGTAAAATATAAGAAGTCTTTGGTGTTAGGATCCTGGAAGTAAGAGAACTGAGTAACGTAGATGCCTAATCTATACTTGTTGATATTTTAAAGAGGAAAGATTTGATTTATTGCAATTATATATTTGTGACTGTGTGACTGCCTCGTTGGCAGAGTGGTCGGTAGTGCGACTGTCGAGCAAGGGGTCTCGGGTTCGATTCCCGGGTCAGGGAAAGTATTACTGAGTTTTTTAAAAATGATCTGTAGTAGCACGGAGTCTAGAATTGTGCCCGGTATATGGTAATAGGCTCAACCCTATTACATGGGACTCATAACATAAATAGTGAAAAGTGGGAGTTACGTGTGGCATAATGTGCACCTCTGCCTACATAAAAGGCATGTTGTTATGTTATGTTATTTATTTGTAAATACGCTCCGAAATTAAGAGTTCGATTTGAAAAAAGGTATTAATGGAAAAGTAACTTTGTAGCCAAAAATCAGATCGCCTAGATATGTTAGGCTGCTATTTCTACCAACTAAATCTCCATAGCGGATCAAACCGCATGCAAAAAACTAGGAGTTGATATTCACAAAATAAGATAACGCCTAAAAATGTTCGATGCATATCAAAATTAGGAGAATACCTGTCTATAAAAAGCATAGTTTCGTAAGTTCCTAGGGTCAATCGGGCTACTGGCAAAGTTGACACAAAGTCCTGCTATTGTGCCGTCGTCCGCCCTCGCAAATATTGAATTTCCTAGAAAAACCAACACAGTTATTTACTACACTTTGTTGCTATGTTACATTGTTACATCGCAATAGGACAAGATCAGCCTTTATTTCATTTATAACAAAAAGAGGGTGTTATATTTTGCACTATTGCGTCTGCCTGCTTGGGGAATATAAGGCGTATATATCCTTACTAATATTATAAATTAGAAAGTGAATTTGTTTGTTTGTTTGTTTGTTCCGCTTTCACGCGGTAACTACTAAACCGATTGCTTTGAATTATTGCAGACGTAAAGTTAGAAGTCCGGATTAAATAATGGGGTACTATTTATCCCGGAAAAAAAGATTTGATATTCCCCAGGGAAAAAAGTATTGGTATAGATGGCGCTGTGTGTATTCGTATATGTCACATAGGCTACTTTTTATCCTTTTATGACGCGAGCGAAGCCGCGAGTAAAAGCTAGTTTGATATAAAGGTGCAGACAGAACAGCTTTAGACAGATAAGGGGAGGTATACATAATACATAGGTACAAATTATCTCACCTTGTTTGAGTAAACTGATGAGATACTCATCAAGTGCACAGTCGTTGGAGATGTCCATGTTTCGTGATCGTACTAAAACATGTTCACTCAAAAAATGTTCCTTAATCACTTGTAAAGCAATATCGTGGTGTTCACTCGTAACTTGGGACAACGAAAAATGTTCTGGCTGGAATTATCAATTGGGAAATTGAGCTTTAAGGTTAGTGTAATAGAGGACAGTTTATTAAATATCCTTACCAAAGAGAGATGATATCTGAGAAGCGTGAGATTATCTGAGCAAACCTTGTTTTAATAACATTTTAGCAGCAATTAAATTGTACCTATGTCCTGAAACGTAGGCGTGGGGAGACTGTATCCTAAAACTGACCAATCACCAGTAGCATGCCAACCTTGGAAATCATAGAAACTTAAGAAGACCTTTGTTCAGCAGTGAACATATTCCGTTCCGTATTCCGTGACTGCCGCGTTGGCCGAGTGATCGCACGTAGGATTGCCGGGCAAGGGGTCTCGGGTTCGATTCCCGGTAGGCTCATATATACAATTACATGGGACCCCTAATATAAATAGTGAAAAGTGGTACTTTGTACAGTGGCATTAAACGCCGTAAATGTGCCTCTGCCTACCCCTTCGAGGATAAAAGGGTTGATGTTATGTTATGTTATATGTTGAACTTATTCCGACTGCTGCTAATGATGATAAAATGAATTCACACCAACCTTCTCCTGGTGTATCAAATCCATGATGCCGAACACACTGTGACATTGTTTCGTCACGATTAGTCTAATACCAATATTCATTAATTGGGACAAAATAGCAGGACCGAACTTTGTTACCTGTAGACGAAACATAACGGGAATTTATCACAGAATCTCTCTAAACTTTGGCTCCAAAATCTATGCTGTACCGATTGACAGCTGAATGACATTACGACAGAATATCCAATCAAAATTAATGGCCAGTACCTTTTAAATATATATGAAACCTAATTTTAGATTCGTGTGCGAATGGGTTTTTCTAAGGGACCTTAGTAAGGGAGATATTCTTTATTTAATAAACAGGCATGTTAGATAAAAAAAATTAGTTAAACTCACTATGGGCGAGGTGAAAGGTACGTTCCTCATGTTGTGGTGGCCCGGAGGTTTAAGATGTCTGCTTCTTATGCACGAGGGTGCGAAACCAAATGGTAAGTACCAATGTGACTTTTTCCGAGTTGGGACTTAAGATTATTTAGACACCACTGACAAACGGTGAAGCAAAACATCGTGAGGAAACCTGGTGATTTCAGACATATAATTAGAAATTATAAGAATTAACTAAAATCGCGGATTACTCAGGTGAATATACTGAGAAAAGCTCTACTAGTTTCGAACCACTGCTGCTCAGTGAGCTGCGCGACATCGCCGCAACCGCCCACGCTGCTCATGAGAAAGAACCCCTCTGTGGTTCGAAACTAATAGAGCTTTTCTCAGTATATTCACGTGAGTAACCCGCGATTTTAGTTAATTTAGTATGTATCAAGATAGATTACAGAAATTATAAGAATATCTATTTATAAGTCTGAAATCGCCAACCCGGATTGAGCAAGCGTGGTGATTTACGCCCAAACTGTCTCCACATGGGAAGAGGCCTTTGGTCAGCAGTGGCTATAGGCGGTTGATGTGATGATATGGTGTGTGATATGACCATAAAACACATTATCTCCTCGAGAACAACCATCAAAACGTGCGTCCTCAGGTTATCTAAGACAGTTCATTAATGAAACAAATTAATCGGATTAGCGTGAAAGTTTAATTATTCTGGAAATAATTAATCTGAGCCCATAACATGTAGTTACTTAATCGTTTGAAACTCGATAAATGCAAACGTTCAAAGATTCTGTGATGTAGTGGCTCCATCTCGACTAGAATGAAATTATTTTTTACTAAAGTCGCAGTAATATTATGTAAGTAGTACATGAATTTGTGACATAGACAAATTACTAATTTCATTTAAATTATCCATATTTTTCTAGGTACACTAGAAACACTGGCACAGCTAATTAGATGTTTAGAACTGGTAGACCTTACAGAAAAACCGTCCAGATCGAAATGGGGCGCCAAGAAATATGATAAATTACCGGTGAAGTATGAAGAATACAAACCAATCCATGTAACAGTGAAGCCCATACGAAGGTACTGGTTACTGAGTGATAACAATCAGTATTCGAAAAGTGCGCCGGTGCAGCAACGAGTGTACGAGGACGAAAAAGACTCGAACATCAAACAGAAAATAGCGATGCTTGTGGAACAAACGATGCAGGACGCTCACAGGAAAATGAAACTGGTAGAAGAACTGAAAAGCGAATATCGAGAAGAGGCTCCTTATAAAGCTGGTTTTATTCTCAGCATGGTGAAAAAGTCTAAGGACGTTTTGGACGAGTTGTTCAACGTGGCGGTAAAGCACAAAGACGAATGGATGGCTCTAGAACAGCTGAAGATCTTCGAACTGATCGTACACACAAATGTCGACACCACCAATCTTCTTAGGCAGCTGGTCGACGTACATGTGAAGTACATGAACGCAACGAGGGATAAAAATAAGGTCATATTAATTTAAATGAAACGTGTAAATGCTGTTTAACTAGCCAAATATTAAACGATATTTATCACCATTTATTCACAAGATCTCTGTAGGTAACAATAAAAAATTGGCCGACTATTGTACAGACTACTTTTTTCTTTCTTTAGAGTCGTTAGTACCTCACAGAAACTAATTTAGACTAAAACCTGTAAAAGATACAATACACAAAGATGAAAATAAACATTTTGGTATAACCGAACCAAAAACTATGCACTAGAATGACTAGAACCCGCAGATTCAAACGCGTTGATTTCCATTTACATCAAACAAAAGTGTTTTGTTCCATTTCCATTTGTGTTCGAAGTAAAAAATGCTGCACTATATTCACTAGACAATACACACACGTGGATTCCGAACCGCACATTGTGTACCATCTTCTTAAATAATGAGAAGGCGCATCCCATCTTTTCCGTGCGGTAATTATTTCTCAGGTGGCGCTGCTGAGCCACGCCACACCTGCGCCATGATGAGGTCGGCGCTAGTGCATTAGTTGATGACGTCACGGTTCGGTTACGACGCCACACGTTTAAATGTTTCGATGTTGGGTTAAGAGAGAATTATTAATTTAATATTCTTATGATAAATCTGAAGGACTGTTTGAAACTGTTATTTGAATCTGCGCTAATAGAGGAGTTAGAATTATGTTGGTACTCTTTTTGATGCCAAAAACTTAGGTGTGTAATCTAATAGAGGTCTGATACTCTGATTATAAATGAGTGTACCTACATCTGGCCTTATCAATGTAAAACTCAATAAATGATAATTTAATTGTCAATCTGAGCTCGAAAACTGTAAAACTCCCAGAATGACGATTATAACTTTTACGTCTTGTCATTCAATTCTCTTGCAACTTCAAAGAAACGACATTACGCACTCTCGTCAGTAACATGATCAAGAATAACTATATTTCTAAACATAATGATTGATTAGATCCCCAGGCCACATACGGGACCCTTTTCCCCACTTTGCTAACCAACAGCTCCCAAAATAGGTATCGTATAAAACAAAAGAACATCACAATGGGGATACAAAAAACTTTTTTGGCTTAAATACACAATGGAGTGTAGGTAAACGTGAAATAGATGTATTTTGACTGGACGGTTTATAGTACCAGTTCTATGTGAGAAGTGAGGTAATGAAATGTATTATTATGCGCATAACCAATGTTGTTATATCTTGATAACTATGTAAATTTTTTTTAAGGAATGAGTCCGTAAATGAACTGACGGATAACCTGATGGTAAGCAGTCGGCGTCGCCCATGGGCGCCCGGAACACCAGCGGCGTTACAAGTGCGTTGCCGACCTTTAGGGGATTAGGAATTTGAGGATTGTTGGAGATTCAGGGATTGGGGAGATTGGGGAAGGGAGGGGGGGGGGGAATTTGGCCTCCGGTAACGGAATCTTTGTTTCACGTCAGTTTTCTGTGAGGCCGTGGTATCACTCTGGTCGAGCCGGCCCAATCGTCAAATTGTTTATTTGCCTATAGATATCATCCAGATTATGTCTACTTCTAAACTACTTCCTATTAAGTAGTTTTTCAAACTCCTTAGTTCCTTGACACCTAGCTTCACCGACGAACAGACTGACAGACTATTCTACATTTTTGGGCGTTTCAATAGTACCTGTATATAGTTTAGTTGAAATACTTAAATGCTTTTTGACTTTGACTAGGCAGCTTTGGGATCAGAGAAACCCTAAATAATTCAATTAACAAATAAACAAGTATAGGTAAGTAATAATAATAAATAGTACCTAGTTACCTACCTACCTAATAAATAAAATATAGTTTAATTAATTGTAATGTTTAGTTATAGTTCATTGAATACAATCTATTTAGTTCTATAGCTCTTCTTTACAGTATTGAATCGAAACAAAGCCTTTCCAAATTCACTTTTGTCATACAGCAACAGCTAAAATAACTTAAACATAAATGTTAGGAAAGAAAAACAATGGAAATAACTAAAACTTTGTACGGCCCATTCATATTTTCTTGTCGAATGCGCGGCGTTGCATCGTGCGCGCTCATCCGCTACGCCCGCCCGCCCAAAATGACCAGTAGTAGGACCAACTCGTCTTGATCTTGAAAATATTTGATCTTTACACAATTACTACGGTCATAGTATAAATAGTCATAAATGAAAAAGAGATAAAAATATGACGGTGGTCAATAATGTAAAAAAAGTACATATTCGTTTATCCGCATTGTATATGTCCTCGCAACTATTTTATACACCTCTGTATACATACATACAGTAAAATAGTTGAAAATATTTATTTGTATTTATGTTTACTAACCCAATTGTTTTGTCATTTCAGTTACTAACAACTAAAAACGACCGCAAAGTTAAGTTCGACGGCTCATTAATCTGCCGTCACCACTCGACACTGGCAGTATAGACGACAACTTCGTTTTGGAGACTCGATTGCCAAAGAGGAAAAAAAAATTAAAACGATGTCGCTATGTATGCTTATATCTTTAGAATAACGCAACGAATTTTGATGTACTTTTAAACCTAATACCTAAATAGTGTTTCAAAGGGACGGTTTATGTGTATTTATCCACAAATGCGAAGCCGCGGGCAAAGATAGTTTATTTTTAAACGTGATTCGATGAAAGATTTTTGACAAATGAATACGTTATGCTATGCCAATGCTAAAGAGTGGAATTCTTTGCCAGAGTCTGTATTTCCTGAAGGGTATAACCTGGGAGTCTTCAAGGCCCGAGTGAATAGGTTGCTTATGGGACGACGTGCTCCATCGTAGACCGCATCATCGCTTACCATCAGGAGAGATAGTGGTCAAACGTCACCCCATCAAATATGTATAAAAAAAAAACGATTTTCTTATTCGTCTTTAAAATACAAAGCGCATGTATATGTAGGTTGATTTTTTATTACGTAATGTAATAACTACAATAATTAAATAGAGGCGAAAATTACTCGTGCGTTGGATATGTGTAATGGAAATTCTGGTTCGTATTATTTTTTAATTAGTATTCATAGCGTGTAACTAATGAAACAAATTCATTAATCAAGGAATTCTTTAATTAGTAAAAGTGATTACTGACCATTTTCAAGTTTCCGATAATGTTCGTGTTTTTAGGGATGGTAACATGATTATAATACAATTTGCAGTATTATGTAAGTATATTTTTTCTCCTATAATTATTATTATTAGTTTGTAAATGATATTTTAATGGGTTAATTATAAATTAAAAATAAATTTAAT